GGCATAGAGTGACAGGTTTTTCCTGGGCCCACATTAGTGTCTTGATGATGAAGCCAGGCAGAGGAAAAGCAGCTGTCTGTGACCTGCCAGGTGATACAGAGCATGCAGGGACTGTCCTATCCCAGTGTGGTTTCCACGAGGGCAAGTACAGTCATGTGAGACTGCCCCCTCCTCAAGTACAGATTCCTAGCCTGGACCTTATAGGAAGATTTGGGTAGTGTTTTGGTGTTTACATTCTTTATATGTTTGAAAAAAAGAGCTCTGTCCCGTGAGCCACCACCTAGGTGCATGTCGGGGCCTTGGTCAAATCCTGACTGATTTTGTGGTTGGGTCTCAGGCCTGTATGGGAGTGACAGCTCAGGCCTCAGCTTGGGCCTCAGGGTTCCTAGAGCTCTGATGGCCCACGCAGGCAGGCAGCCTGGCTGGGTGAAGGGCAGTGATAGGGAGGGGAGGCCTTGGGGACCCGTCTCCTCTGTGTCCAGTCCTGGGGATCAGGGTATTTGTTAAAAGAGCCAGTGTTGCTTTGAAGGCCAGATACTGTGCTTAGATTTGGGGATCAAAAACCAGGGTCGTTGGAGCTCACAGCGTCGGGGAGAATGAGGGCAGTGATGAGAAGCGTTGTTGGCTGCTTGCGCCCACGTTCTTTCACAGTCTGTAGGGATGAGCTGCTTAGAGTCAGTTTAGTCTTGAGTCTGCCAGGTGTGGGGTTCTGGAGAGAGACAGTTGACAGCAGTGTTACTAAGGGCTCCTGTGCCTACATTGGCAGTGTTCGTGGCTGCCTAGCTGCCAATGGAGTGAGTGCCACAGTGCCTGGCAGTAGTGCTTGAGGGCTGTCTGGTCCAGGAGGGGGAAGCAGGAGCTTTGGTGGTGGTAGTGGGGGTATGACCTCATTCAGGACTGTTGGCTGTGTGGGCTTGCCATCTCAGCCGGGTCGGTCACACTTCTGGGAGAAAGCCTGCTCTGGTCAAGTCCTTGGGTTCCCAAGTCACTTGGTAGGGTCCCATTCAGTCCTGTCTGGACTGGCGGGCAGAGAAAAGTGGGCTGAGTTGGTGGGGAGACAGGGGTGAGGGTGTCTGAGGTCTAGAGGCCGGTCTACCATTCTCAGCTTCTTCTTTTTTTTTTTTTTTTTTTTTTTTGAGACAGGTTCTCGCTGTATAGTTCAGGCTGCCCCAAACTTACTATATAGCCCAGGCTGGCCTCAAACTTGTGACAGTCCTCCTGCCTCAGCCTCCCAAGTGCTGGGATCACCGGCGTGCACCACTACACCCAACATTGGCTTTATTTTTACTGAGGAAAGCTATTTTTCCCCTTTTGTGGCTCCCCTGAAATGCATGTCCAGAGAGAAACTTGAATTCCTGGGGAAGTGACCCTACAGGGCAGGGGACCCTTGTGCCACAGGGTCCAACCTCAGGCTGGTTGGTGGTGCCCACGCCTTCACTTCAGGGGAGGGAGAGGAGAGCAGTGCTCTGTGGCTCAGGAAGCTGAGGAGTAACATGGGAGCTGGAGTAATATGTGCTCCTTATAAAAATTTCAAACAGAACAAAAATAGCCAGTGTAGGAAGTGATAGTTCCTGCAGCCCCACACCCCAGAGATAACCACTGTTACCACTGCGTGTGCAGAATGTGACCAGCTGCGGCCCAGCACCCTTGACCTTCAGGCCCAGCAAAGGGCGCCTGTGTTGCTGATTCCAGTTATTCAGGTGGGGCTTGCTTGGATTGAGGGTGGAGTTCATGAACTTCTCTTTTGGTCTATCTCCTCGGGTCTTCCGGTGCTAAATGGGGCCTAGTCTGGATTTGGGGAAAGTGATGTTGTAGCCTTAAAGACTTAAAGGATCAGGCCCAGGGTGGGCATTGGTTGAGAAGGTAGAGGGTGAGGGTACAGATAGCCACCTGCCCCCATGGGCACCCTCACACACTTCTTCAGGTTTGTCTCTCCTCCCTTGTGTATCTCAGGGGAGACTGTACCCTCTGAGCATGCTCCCTTCCCTCCCTCTGCGCTACAGTGTAGCCTGGCTCAGCCTCCCCCAGGGGTGGGAGAGAAAGCCAGTTGCTTGTACTCACTCTGTCAGGCAGTGGGAGTGTGGCCCCAGGGAGGGGCCGGGCAGCAGCCCAAGGTGAGCACCTGAGGGTTTAGTCCTGCTGGCCTTTTCCAAAGGGAGAAAGTTGCAGGTGCCCTGGAGCAGCCTTTAAAAAAAGAAAAACTTAAATATTGAGTAACAATAAAACAGTCACACCACCACCAAGTCTTTGCAGTGACTTAGTATGGATGTTTGGATATACAGGATGCCTGACAGAAACAACCCCTCCTCCCAGCCCCCTATGCCCACCAGAAGCCTGGACAGCTGGCCTTGTGGGGTCAGAGGACCTCACAGAGGAAAGGCTGCCATGCTGCTGCTGAGACTGAGCCCTTCAAAGATCTAGCTGACCACGTTTACCAGGCCTGATGCTTCTGCCTTCATGCTTCGGCCTAGAGCTCCAGGCAGGCAGGTAGAAAGCTTTTCCCTCAGGCACTTGGAGGCATTACTCTGCATAGTGGCCGGTGTTTCCAAGGAGGACTGCTGCCGCTCCCATTCCTGCTGTGTGAGCCTGTCTCCCTTCTCTGGGGCCCTTTGGGGTTTCTCCTCGCCTCCCCTCCGCTCCCTTTTTTTTGTGTAGTTGAACCTCAGGCCTTCACACTGAGCTAACATCAACGCTTTTTTGTTGTTTTGGTTTTTTCCGGTACCGGGAATCGAACTCACAACCTTGCGCTTGCCAGGCAGGTGCTGTGCCACTGAGCTAAATCCCCAGCTCCTAACCCTTTTTTATTTTGAAACAGGATCGTGCTAAGTTGCCCAGACTAGGCTTGAACCTGATTTCCATCCTCCTGTCTCTGCCACCATGAGTGCTGGGAATGTAGGTGTGAGCCACCATGCCTTGCACACACACATAAGAAGGAATCAGGGTGTCCTTCTTATGCCTGGTGTTGGGAAACTCACATTGACATCTTGGGCCTGGGTCTGTCTGTGTTCATTGTGCTGCATGCTGTGGGCCTTTGTGCTGGTGCTCTTATCCTCCAGATCAGGAAAATGTTTCTATATTGTCTTTCATAGTTGTTTCCTTTTTTATGTTTTCTATCCTTTTTTTGATTAATAGAACTTTTAATTTACTTTATATTTTAATTTTTGAGACATGGTCTCACTATGCAGTTCAGGCTGGCCTTGAATAGAACTTAGTTTTAGACTGTTTTTAGGTTGAAGCCGGGGATATAGCTCAGTGGCATAAGCATTTGCCTGGCAAGGCTGAGGTCATGAGTTCGATTCCGGGTACAAAAAAAAAAAAATAGAGTACTTTCAGGTTTATAGAAAATCCAGTGGAAAATATGAGCCTCATATATCCCTCAGCCCCTCCTGCAATTTTCTCTATTATTACTACATTGTGCCAGGCGTGGTGGTGCACGCCTGTAATCCCAGTACTCAGGAGGCTGAGGCAGGAGGATTGTTGCAAGTTCAAGGCCAGCCTGGGCTACAAAGTGAGTTTAAAGCCAGCCTGAACCACATAGGGAGACCCTGTCTCAAAAAGACAAAACAAACAAACAAAACCCACATTGTTAGTGTCATGCATTTGTTACACTTGATGGGCCAGCATCAATATATTGGTACTAACTAGAGTGTGTAGCTTACATCATACTTCTACTCATGTAGTATACATTTTATGAGTTCTGAAAAATGTAAAGACAGGTGTTTGCTATTAGAATGTCACACAAAATAGCTTTACTCCCTAAAAATCCCCAGTACTCTGTCTGTTCTTTTCTCTTTCCCTTTGCACTCTTGGCAATCATTGATCCTTTTACTGTCTTTACAGATTTTCTTTTTCCACAAAGTTGTATAGCAGAATCAAAGTGTTTAGCCTTTGCAGACCACCCTTCCAGTCCTTTGTTGTCTTTTCCTAGCTTGACAGCTCATTTCTCTTTATTGCTCTGTAGTATTCCATTCTCCGGACGTACCTGTTTGCTTGTCCATTGACTACTGAAGGACCCCGTCGTAGCTTCTAGGTTTTGGCAGTTATAAATAGAGGTGCTATAAACATTCGTGTGCAGGATTTCCTACTGACATGTTTTCACCTCCATAGGTAAAAAAACAAGGAGCAGTTGTTCCTTGTATGGTGAGATTATATATAGCTATCTAAGAAGCTGCTGACCCCTGCCTGGCTCCCCCTACCTGGACAGCAGCCTCTGCTCACCCTGTCGTGTGTTAGGGATCTTTTTTTTATCTCCCTGGGGAGTGTGGAGTGGGAACAACACGGGCTGTGACTCTCCTCTCGCCTTCCCTGTCTGCTTGTTCTCCGGTGTGCTTTCCATCTGATCGTCACCTCCTGACCTGCTGCAGGGGGTGAGTCTTCCTCCCAGAAGCTCCCCCTTGCAAGCTGTGAGGGGAGTGGGCGAGAGCACTCATCAGCAGACAGAGCCACCACCACCCGGGTCTCCTGGCCATTTTGGCCTGCTCCTGCAGCTCGAGCTGGCAGGATGCGGGGTGAGTCACCGCGTGGGTGAGGGGTGTGTGTGCGCACGTGTGTACATGTACCAGTGTTCCTGGCCCCAGGGCTCTGTGTGAGCTGTTCTTTTCTCATGGCTCAGAGTAGAGCCTTGACTGGGACTGGCTAGAGGACATGACGTACCAGGGAAATGTGGGTAGTCTGTCTGTGCCAGGCCCTGGCTAGATGGTGGCCCCTCCCAGGCCCAGCCTCAGAGTTTGAGCTGTTGGGAGGATGGAGCAGCATGGGGTCTCTGAGCTCCAGCACAAGGCACTGGTTGAGCGGGGCACCCGAGGCGCTTACCTACTCAGGATGTGGTTTTCTCCATCATGGAAAAGTTTTGGACAGTTTCTCAGTTAGGCCTGTGGCATAGAACCCCGGGCTGGTGTGTCAGAGCAGGAGCCTGGGGAAAGAGCCCCCGTGAGTGGTCAGTGAGGGGGAGCCAGGTGCCTTGGGCCTGTCACCAGCACTCTGCCCACCCTCTCTCACAGGTGGTACAAGCTGCACTCCAAGGCAGGCAAAAAGGAGAAGGAACGTGGCGAGATCCAGGTCACCATCCAGTTCACTCGCAACAACTTGAGCGCCAGCATGTTTGACCTGTCCATAAAGGACAAGCCGCGGTCCCCCTTCAGCAAGCTGAAGGATAAAATGAAGGGCAAGAAGAAGTATGACCTTGAGTCCGCCTCCGCCATCCTCCCAAGCAGCGCCCTAGAGGATCCTGAGCTGGGCAGCCTGGGCAAGATGGGCAAAGCCAAAGGCTTCTTCCTCCGCAACAAACTACGCAAGTCATCTCTGACTCAGTCCAACACCTCGCTGGGCTCGGACAGCACCTTGTCCTCGGCCAGCGGGAGCCTGGCCTACCAGGGCCCCGGCGCTGAGCTCCTCACCCGCTCGCCGAGCCGCAGCAGCTGGCTGTCCAGTGAAGGGGGTGAGTGAGGGAGGGCGGCATGCCCCGGTGAGAAAGGCCCGGGCTCCTCTTCACTAGCACTAACGCTGTGTTGTCTCTTTTGCAGGCAGGGATTCTACGCAGTCCCCCAAGTTGCTCACCCATAAGAGGACCTATAGCGATGAGGCCAGCCAGCTGCGTGTGGCCACTCCCCGGGCCCTTCTTGACCTCCAGGGCCACCTCGATGCTGCCCCCCGCTCTTCCCTGTGTGTCAATGGGAGCCACATTTACAACGAAGAGCCCCAGCCCCCTGTGCGGCACCGCAGCTCCATTTCAGGCCCGTTCCCCCTGTCCAGCTCCCTTCACAGCGTCTCTTCCCGGCCCTCTGAGGAGGGCTCTCGGTCCTCGGATGACTCATGGGGCAGAGGTAGCCGAGGCGCCGGCAGCTCGTCGGAAGTGGTGCCTGCACAGGAGGAGCTGAGCACTCAGGCCAAAGCGCCATCTGGGGAGGAGCGGGCCCAGCCCCCAGAGGGGAAGCCAGTCCAGGTGGCCACGCCCATACTGGCCTCCTCTGAGCCTGTGCTGGAGAAGGAGGGAGCTCGGAAGGAGGAACGTAAGCCCCGGATGGGCCTCTTCCATCATCATCACCAGGGCCTGAGTCGGAGCGAGTTGGGGCGCCGTGGCTCTGTGGGGGAGAAGGGTGGTCCCACACTAGGGGCCTCCCCGCAACATTTGACCAGTGGGGAGGAAAAGCCCAAGAGTAGCTGGTTTGGCCTGAGAGAACCCAAGGAATCAACTCAGAAACCCAGGTATGTCCTTGACTAGACCAGTTCTGTTCCTTGGGGGACATTGGGTGTTTGCTGCCTGGAGCCTGGGGCAGGGAGCAGGGAGCAGATATGGTCCTTGGGTAGGCTGCTGGGGCTCTGGCTTTGCATGGTAAAGCGGGAATACCCTGTCTCCCTCAGCCAAGGCTCGTTCTGTCACGTGGACACCGGTGAGTCAGAAGGGTGCCTTGAGAGTCCTGTGGACGAGGTCGTCCTGGGCCTCTGCGTGAGTTGGCGGACTCGGCCCCCAAGAGGAGTCAGGATAAAAGCAGGGCAGGGACACGTGCGTGGATTCTTGGCTTCCTGACCTCCACCTCTTGCCATCTGGCCTCAGGGAAGCTTTGCGGGTGGGGAGGTAGTGCCTGGGGACTGTCTTGCCCTCTCCGAAGCTAGACTCTTACCCTCAGCTGCCCTGCTGGGTCTGGGCTCTCTTTCCCTGAGGGACAGCAATCACATAATTGATGCTGCAACCCTCTTTAACTCCATTTACTTCCTAGCCCAAGATGCTGTGGCAACTCCCTTAAAAAAATGTAACCCCCATCCTTGGGGACTGCTGTGGCTCTAGTCTTGGGTACAGCTCTGTAAGGAGTGCTGCTGATGGCTGGCCTGCTTTGAATGTGCTGAGTCCCCCAGCTGGGTCCTGGCAGAGCTCCTGACCTCCACCCTGACCCCTTTGCTGCCTCCTCACTCTGGCAGAGTCCAGGAGGGGATTCAGGGGCAGGTCACAGAAACCTGTGTCCCCCTTGCCAGCCCCAGATGGCACCCTCTGTGACAGCCTCAGCTGCTGAGAGGCAGGAGGCTAGTTGCTTGCCAATGGGCCCTAAGGAGGTTGGTACCAAGGCTGTTGGTACCCAGTGGCATAGGGATAGGTGGGAGGGAAACCGGGGCTCGGTGATGAGGGATCAGGAGGTAGGGCATGGGGGACCCTATCCCTCTATCCTAGCAGAGGGGAGAGGAACCCTGTAGTCCTGTTTTCCCTCTTTCCTGTGGAATACTGACTGCTCAGAGGAGGGAGAGAATTGTGAGGCCTTTTCAGGTGGGCCCCCCATTAGGGCTGGCTGATCTCCTCCTTAGGGCCTCACAGGCAAGGAGTGTGGGGTAGATGAGTCATGGTGTGAGCCTGCCCTTTCCTTCTGTTTAGTATGATAATTCCTGTCCCTACTGTCCAGCCCCTATGGCTAGTGCCCAAGAGACTTCTGGCCACCTGAAGTCTAGGGATGCTTGGGAAGAAGGGGATAGGCCTTTGCTAGGTATCCAGGCTGGGCTGGTGGCCCTGTGACAGTCAGGTATTTGAGGTGGAGGGAGGCAGATGGCCTGGACAGGACATTTGCTGGAAGGAGCTGGGGACCTGGGTAGAAGGGTCTAGACCATGTGCTCAGCGGCAGTGTCTGTGGGTGTCTCTGGGTCTCTGCACAGCAGGGCAGATACTGAGGTCATCTCTGAGAGGTTTGTAGTGCGCACACAGGCTCCTGCTTAGGCTCTGTAGCTGTGACTGTGTGATGGGGTGGTTATTACTCTTGGCTACCAACAATCTCCAATTTCCTTCTCTTCCTTTGTTATGCCTGTCTCCTAAAGGGCCTTCAGAGTTTAGAGAATTTGGGTTGTTGTTGGACGTAAGGAAGCTGAAGCTTCTGTCCTGTTCACACTTGGATCCTGCGCCTTGTCCTCAGCAGGCTGGAGGGAACCTTGGGGTTGCCCTGTACTTCTGGGCCCATTTGTTTGGGGAGCTAAGAGTACCCCTGTTGCCCTGTACTTCTGGGCCCATTTCTTTGGGGAGCTAAGGGTACCCCTGGGGCCACGGATGCAGGGAAGGTAGGACAGCCTGCTCTTTGGGTGCAGTGCTGGCTCAGAGAGATGAAACCTGGGCAGTGAGCTCTTGCAGCAGAACTTTGGCCCTGTGTGCCTTGCAGGGAGGGAATGGCTGACACGCAAGAAAAAAATTGACCCTGACCTTCTTTAGGGCTTCTGAGGACAGATGAGAGGTGGGAGAGCTCATGCGTTGGGCTGTAGGCTGGACTCAGAACTGGAGTAAACTAATGTAGCTGAGGATTTCCAGCTGGGACAAGGGGAGCCTGTCCACACTGCTAGGGGTTTGGGGTGTCTCTGCCCTGGGGTTCCCATTGCAGATTGCAGGTGTTACTCTGTAGCAAGGGCAGCAGCGCCCTCTAGTGCTCGCTTGTGGTGATGCCCCACAGAGAAGCCCTAAGCAGAATGTGTTGCTATTGGAGAATGCGGTGGCTGGCAGAGCAGAGCGTGGAAGGTGGGTCCTTCTGTGCCTTCTGACCTGGCTAGGCTGCTGGTTTGGAGCTGTTACACTGAGCCCCTGTCTGTGTGGGGGAGGGATTTGGACAACCCCGTTTGAGTCGCTGGACTCATCCCTGCTCAGCAGCCCCCCTGTGAGCCGTGTGCACTGAGCAGTGGTGCCGGCTGCTTAGTGTGTTAGAGGCCAGGCAAGGCCATGTGTGTTAAACCTGCCAGTGCAAGAGCGTCTTGTTTTTGTGCCTGCCACTTCCCGTCCCCTCCTCTAACCGCAGAACTTTGTGCACAGGGGGAGATCATATGTGAGTATAATTTTCTTAAAATTGAGGTTAAATCTAGTATGACCGAGAGGCAAAGGTATCACTGCTGTGACCTTTAGCGTCTCTTCCTCTCCCCAGTCCCCAGCCCCGCTTCCACTGTGCTGACAGCGGGTCCCAGTGGGCCAGGAGGTGCTGTGGTGCTGAGAGTGCCGTGTCTCAGGCTGTGTTCTGGGTGGTGTAAATGAGTAACTGTAATGTGTGCCCAGTCACTTAGAGTTTGTGTGGCTTCATGTCCTGCTTGTGCTGTTTTCCTGGTGTACATACTATACTAACAGTGTTCTTGTTTGTTTGGAAGATGAATGGTACGGTCTCCCTACTTAGAGCTCACAAGTCCCTCTCCCACCGGTTTCTGGACATAGGGGAGATGATGCCGAGGGCCATTGCCCAAGATGGGGATGGCTGAGGGCATGTTGGCTGGGGTGGGTGTGTCTCAAAGGCTGGCTGTAGCCCTTTAGGGGACTGCCGGACGATGTGTGCAGGTCAGCTTGCCATCTCTGGGACTAAAGCGTGGAACAGGGCCACAGTGCTCATCTGAGACAAGGAAGCACTGGCTATTAGTGAAACCTGCTCTGCTGCTCAGAGGCGGCCCTGGGTGCGGGGTTTAAGGGGGCAGGTGTCTGAGTGAATAAGCGATTCACATCAGCCGGCATGTTCAGCCAGTTGTCCTGGGGTTCCTGTAGGCTCTGAAGTTTTATCCCTCAGTTGAAGGGACAGGGTCATTTGGACTTCTGATTTCTGTCTCCAGTCTTTAGCCCTAAAATGAGAAAAGTCAGCGAACGTTATACTCGCACTGCTTGAGAGTGGGAGGCTGTGCCAGGCCTGTGAGGTGGGTTCCAGAACACAGCGGTGTTTCTTGTGTCTCTGTTCCTGGAGCACAGCCAACAGAGAGGACCACACAAAGGACCATGCCTCTGATCTGTGCCAGCGGGATTGGTAGTAAGGAGATGTGCAGTGAGAACCTTCTTGATGTGCTCCTCATGTAGAGCAGGAGATGATGGGTGAAGGGGCCATGATACAGGAGACCAGGATGGATAGGATTCTGCCATGCACTGCTGGCTCTGGGGCGCCTCCTGGGCCTGATGCCTGGGCCCGCTCTCCAGAGAGAGCCCTTTGCTGATTCCATATCAACGGGTTTGTGTGTGTCTCTGGGGAGCTTTGGTGGGGAGGGAGGCTGCCACACATAGCTTGAGCTCCTAGTCTCCTTCGGGGGCTCCTCTCCCTGCAGTGGTGACTGCCAGCAGATTGCTGTGAGACCGCAGGGTGAGTGGGGCAGCAGGCTAGGCTGTGGGGATGTAGAGCTGGGCTTGCTGATCTTTATCATTGATGGGCCTCTCTTCCTTCGGGGCCCCTGGCTTCCCATCATCAATTGGGGGTGAGAGAGAGGTAGCTCAGAGTATCCCAGATTTGATCCTGGTGGCTAGAGCCCTGCTGTAAAGTTAAGGCTGGGGCTGGGGCTGCTGTGGATGCTTTGATCAGGATGCTGAGGGTAGGGTCTTGACCCACACAGTGGGGGTACTTGCCTTTCACCCTCCTGTTTCCTGGTACAGGTTTTCCTGCCTCGGCCCTGAGGCCTGCCTAGAATGAAGGGAGAAGGGACGTTTTCTGCGGTTGAGTGTCTGGGTCCAGTGTTTTCCCTCTGCCTGTAGAAGTGGGGTAATGCTGTGAGCCCCGAGTGCGAGGTGGGAGTGCATGGGAATTTTCCCTCTTCTCTTCATCTCTATCAGGGAGGTAGGGATGAGACTGAGAATCCACCCTTGGATGTAGAGTTATTTTAGGGGAAAAAATAGGGTCACAAGAATCTCTGGAAGCTGGATTTTTATGAGAAATCGATGGGTTTTGGAGTTGGTGATGTCCTGCTTATGCGGCTGACCTCTTCCCTCCCTGTACCTTTGCCTGTGGCTGAACTGGATAGACTCCTTCCTGTCACCTGCAAGCTCCATGTGCAGGCCTTCCCTTTCTGGACCCTGGGTTCTGAGAAGAGTCTGGCAAACTCCAGACAGTTGGCCTCTTTCCCCAGGTACCTTCCACCTCCAGCTTACCTTACTCACGAAGCCTGGCTTCTCCTGCAGGGCTCAGCATTGCATTTCCTATGGAAGAAGCTGGTTGAGTGAAGACGAGAAATAGGGGGAAGAGTTTCCCTCAGATATTTCCACCCGGGGAGGCAGAGGTCAGGGAATGGGGTATTGGGAGCTTGGAGGGGCCCTGGGAGACTGGCCATGAGGAAGAGACTTGGATGCAGGGAGTAAGACTGAGGTCTGGCTCTGGACAGGCTTAGCTGTAGTAGGCCACTGTCACACTGCTGAAAGTTGGGGTGTTTGGTCCACTTTTCTCCGTTCTATTTCTCTAGTCTCCTGTGTCCCCAAGAAGCAAAAGCTCTATGTTCAGAGTATCCATGACATCTGTGGAGTCATTGTGGACAGGGCTCAGGTACAGGGCTCCTCCTCCTGGGAGGGCTGTCAGGAATGCCTGAAGTTGGTCTTTAGTGTGGACTCACGGCTGTGGAATGGATTTCCTGAGAGGACCTGCCCTCTTCCTGCCTTGAGGGGAGCTAGGGATTTCAGAGAAGACTCTGGAGGTTTCTGAGGACATGCAGAGTTGCTGTGGCTGCCACATCCTCAACCTTTGTCTCCTAAGGGTGGCCTGTGAGGGAGAGTGGGGGGGGCACCGCCTTCTGGGCTGTGTGGGTGCCTGACCATAGGCACCTGCTCACCACAGGACAGCAGGTCCTGTCCTCCTCAAAGAAACAACTGATGCCTTGTCATGCCTGATGACAGCCCTTCCTTACCTCCTCATTCTGCAGAAAAATCAGTAGGACCCAATCTGTTTGAGGAGTCTGAATTCCAGGCGCCCTGCATGGTTTTCCTAGTGCCAGGACTTCCCAGCCGGATCTAGGTTTGGCCTTGCTCTGGCCTTTTGCTGTTCAAGCCAGCTGGTGTTTTCCTTGCTCACTGAGTCCTCAGTGGGATGTCAGGTGGTTTTGGATTGCTGGTGGTTTCTTTTCTTTTTTTTTTTTTTTTTTGGTACTGGGAATCGAACTCAGGGCCTCATACCTGCCAGGCAGGCACTGTGTTGCTAAGCTATATCCCCGCCCTGGATTGCTTTCTAAGCATAAATCCAATGTTAAGTAGACGTGGTTTAGGTTTGGATCCTGCCTGTAAAATGGGATTACTGCTGTTTGGAGTTGATGTGAGGATTAAATTAGCTCTGCTCAGATTCTTCGTGGGTGGTGCCTCAGAATGTTACACGGTGTCTTCCATCCGTCCCCTGCCCTAAGTCCCTGTGTCCAGCAGCACCTTGTCCGGAGGTGGGGGTAGGGCCGGGGTGGGGGCAGGTGGGACAGGGGTGTAGTAGCCAGCAGGGCAGTGAATGGTCTCAGCATTAACCAGGAGGCTCATGGTTTTGTCTTCCTCCACAGCCTGGACGTGTCTCCTCAGGTAGAATCTGACCCAGCTGCTGCTCCTCACCACCTTCCCTGCTCCCCCTGGGCTCTGGCCCCCCCCACTCCTGTTCCCACTGCTGCTCCCATGCTAAGCACTAACCTTTTTGCAGCCGCCTCCCCTGCTGCTGCCACTGCTGCCGCCGCTGCCACCACCACCACCACCCCCGAAGTCACCCTACCTGGATTCTTGGGTGTCACCAACCCGTTCCTCACCTCCTTGCAGAGCAACCCCTTCTTCGAGGAGCTCGTAGCCAACATAGCACTAAACTCTCCTTCACCCGCTCCCTCTCTCCCCAGTGCCTCGAGGGCCAGCCCTGCCCCCCTGGCCTCCCCTGGGAGAGCCCTGCCTGAGTGGGACGACACCTTCAACATCTTTGCTGCCAGCAGGCTGCATCCAGAGGCCAGGAGCAAGATCCTAGCCCCAGCAGGAGTGGGGCTGGAGGCGGCTGGGCTGAAGGATTCAGGCCCAGGGGCCATGGCAGTGAATGCAGCTGAGGCCCAAGCAGATCCTGGGGGAGGAAGTGATGGGAGCAGCATGTGGTCAGAGCCCAGGGCTCCTCTGGACTTGGGACTGGACCAGCAGAGCACAAGTGCATCTGACCCGGGGCCCCTTGGGTCAGCAGAGGCCGCCCTGCCCCCCGAGCTGCACCTTCGAGCCTCAGCCTCAGCACCAGACCGGGAGCCGCTGGCCCCGGAAGGTGGAGCAGGGCAGAGTCCAGCAGGTAGCGGAAGGTCTCTGTTCAGCTCCCCAGAAGTGATCAGTGCGTGGGAGCAGCTGCCTGGTTTGGATGACACCCCCGAGGGCCAGGACGAGGAGGCCCCCCAAAGGGAAAGCCAGCTTTTCCACGAGCTCAGTACAGCCGATGATTCCTGGCCCTGGGATGTGGTCACCATTTCTCCTGCAGCTGAGATGGCCTCACCAGTCCTGCGCGGAGAGTCTGATGAGCTGCCTGCTCCCCAGTCGCTGCCAGAATCACCTGAAACTATGAATCCCACACAGAGCGAGGGCCTTCCCCCACTGGAGCTGGAGACAGAGCTTAAACATGAGTGGGGGTCGGACGAGGGGCTGAAGCCCAGCGCACCACCTCCCAAGCCACCGCGCCTCTTCATGCCCTCAAACCCTCAGGTGGAGGAAGAGGAAGAGAATGCTGCGGGGAGGCCGAGTGACCAGGAATCAGGGACAGAAGAAGATGCTGCCCCACGTGCTGTATTTGTTGGTCCTCAGGAAGCCAAGGAGGAGAGCGAGAAACCTGAGTCAGAGGAGTCGGACAGCCCATCTTCTGCGACCTTGCTGGGCGAGCCAGGCCTGGAGGAGCTAGTAGAGGATGCCAGCCCCCCTGGGTCCAGCGCCTGCCTGACTGTGCCCGCCAGCTGCCCTGAGGGGCCTGTGCCCACGCCCTGTTATTCAGCAAGCTCAGCTCTTCCAAGTCTGCAGACCTGGGGGGCTCCAGAGAGAGAAGGCCCTGAGGTCTCGAGCCAGGAACCAGTAGAAGAGGCCCTTGCTCCTCTATCCGACACCCCCCAGGGGGCTGATGTGTGGGCCTTGGAGGAGGGTGCCTTGAGCCCCTTGTCTCAGGGGAGCCGAGATCCTCCTAGTCTTCCCTCTACATCCCCACCAGCGTCCAGGGAATCTTCTATCCACTCTGGCCCAGAAGAGCCACCCACGCCCCCAGAGCCTGCCTTTCCACCGCCCCCTCTCCCACCCTGGGCCAGCCACCGCCATGGGGCACCTGGCCCTCCATGCTCTCCCTTGCCTGGGGCCTGGCCCCTGACTTCTTCCTCCCCACCTCCGGGGGAGCCAGACTCACCCCCTGGCTCCTTTGAGCCCTTCCCCCCTGAAGGCTCCCCTGTCCCACTCGGGGAAGACCACGCTGCAGCCACCCCAGCCTCCCCGCTTGTGCTTCTGCCCTTGGAGACACGACCAGCTGAAGAGCCACAGCCCAGCGCCAGGTGAGCGTCCACCCTGAGAACCTTTCCCAGGAGGAAGGGGGAGGAGGGGCCACAGCAGCACGAGGGGCGGGGTTTCCTCCTCGGCACAGGGAAGCGAGGGCCTCCGCCACCCTGAGGAGATGGTGGAGGCTTTGAAGCCATGAGCATTCTGTGGTGGTACCAGCTCTGAAGCTGCCACTGTCATGAGACCTTAGCAGGGTGGCCCACAAGCTGGGGACTTGGGGAGTAGCGCTGGCTAGGAGTGGGGGAGAGCTGATGTGCACTGGCAAGGAGGGGCGAGCGAGCTGTGCCCCCCGCACAGGGAGTTCTCCAGGATGCCCTGGGGAGCCGGCCAGCAGTGGAGCCCAGAGCAGGTTCCTGTCCAGCAGGCTGGAGGAGGAGAGCCAGAGGGACCAGGACTTCGGTCCGGAAGCAAGCTGGAAGCACCTTCGAAGGGCAGAAAGAAAAGCAAGATGCTTTTCTCATATGTAACCCTCAGAAGAAAGCCTCTCCCACTTCCCAGTGCTTCACTGGCTGCCCTCATTGGTTTTGTGAGCCTCTCACTGGTCTGCCCTCTCTTTGGTTCAGGGTGAGTGCTGTGTGACTGGTCACAGTGGCACTGGGCTGTGGGACGAATGAGGCTAAGACCAGGTGGCTGGAAAGGGGTGATGAGAGGAGAGGTCTGGAGACTTGGGCTTGAGATGTGGTGGGTGTGACTCAGCTGGGACAGCAGAGTCCAGAGGGACATGAATACTGTAGGAGGCCTAAGGGGAAGAGGAGAGGGTGAGCAGGGTGCAAGGTTTGCGAAGCAGGTCAGGCTCCAGCACAGGCCTCTGCGAGGCCACAGGCCGCTCAGCCACTTGCTGGGTCAGTTACCGGAGTTCATGGAGCCTCTGCTCTGTGCTAGTTCAGTGGGGAAGGCCGAGGTCTTGGGAAGGAGGAACCTTGCAGGGCAGGGCTGATAGTGGAGTTTTGCAGGAGTGAGTCTGGGCATCCCCACCCTGCTCCCCCAAAAGGCAAGTGGTGGTTGTGTGTTCCCCTGCAGTGAGGGGAACTGAGAGAGTGAGTGGCTTCCTTACTCCCTGATGACAGCGTCCTCAGCTGGCCCTGTTGGCTTCCAGCACAACTTCTAATTATACTCAGCATGTTTGGGAAGTTCTGTTGTTTTCAGAGTTGGCTTTCTGTCCGTCCTTGGTGTATACCTTATATCGTGAAGTGGTTGAGCCAACTACAGCTCTCTGTCTCAGATAAGAGCTGCAGGGCCCAGGCTCCTTCAGCTGTAGGGGCAGTCAGATGGTGAACCTGGGCCTCCTGGCAGCTCATAGAGGGAGCTTTGGTATTGTGCTGGTCATTCTTTTCCCCACTGCCTGTAGGTGGCCTATCGTGTGCCTAGTGCATACTCACAGGTGACATTAAGGCTGACGTGCACGCATCTTTTCCCTACTCTGCACCACCCCTCAGCACAGCCTTTCTTCAGTGACAGAGGTGCTTCTTTGGTGAGCAGAGGCCTTGGCCTTCCCCACTGGACTGGTACAGAGCAGAGGCTCCCTGAGCTGTGGTAACTGGCCCAGCAGGTGCCTGAGCAGCCTGGGGCCTCACAGGGGCCTGCGCTGGAGCCTGACCTGCTTCCCAAACCCTGCACTGTGCTCAGCTGCGCCTCTGCCTTCAGTAGAGTTCAGGGCCTGGGATTAAGCATTTTGCTTCCTACTTCTGAGGCTTCAGTCTGCTGTAGAATGAATGTAAGTTTATAAGAGCTTCCCCAGGGGAAGTTAGCTGATTTGAGAGCCTGATACTTACAGGTTATTTATCACTATCATAGGTGTAGGCCACTGGGGATCTCAGGAATTCAGTGGGGGAATCAAGAAGGCTTCTTGGAGTAGGAGGCTTGCATAGCTTTGAAACAGGAGTAGGAGCTAGACCAGTGGGAGAAAAGGGCCTACTCCAGGCAGAGAATAGCTTTGTAAACGCCTGAAGTTAAGAAACGGCACTGCTTCCTGTGGTTGGGGGAGTAGTAGGCCATGAGGAAAAGGCAGGCCCAGAATGTGTTAGATTGTGTTTTCTACCTCCATAGAAGCCACTAAAGGCTTTTTAAGCATTGGAAAGATCAGGTCTTTTTGGTTTTTTGAGACAGACTCTCACCATGTAGTTCAGGCTGGCCTTGAACTTACTGTGTATCCCAGGCTGGAACTCAAGGTGATCCTCCTGCCTCAGGCTCCCGAGTGTTGGGAGTACAGGCACGCACCGCCCTGTCCCGCCTGAGGTCAGATCTTGATGCTGCAGCACGGTGGGTGTGTGACTGGAGGTGGGCAGGACTGTGCTGAATGGAGGAGCTGAGTAGAGGCTGTGGCTGAAGGCAGGTGTAGCTGATACTGGCATGGAGGAGAAGGGGTGTTCTGAGAGAAGGTAGCAGGGCCTGATTGATTGTTAAGCTGAGGCTGACTGTGGCAGAGATCCTGGGAGGCTCCCTGCTGGGAGCACAAAGGAAAGGGCAGGTCTGAGGGGATTTCGCATGATGAGCAAGCGAGCTATCCTGCAGATGAGAGCCTGGGGGAGGCCCTGGCTGGTGGGCGGGCAAAGAGGAGGGGAGAGAAGTGGAGGGTGTGAGCACTTAGGACCAAGAAGAGGTGGTCAAGCCGGAACACAGGTGGAGGAGAGAGCCCAGAAGAGGGAGAGGGGTGAGTGTGCACTCCACAGAGAGGTCAGGGAGGTAAGAACAGAGGCGGGACTTTAGCAAGTTCCCATGTAGCGGGTTGCGGGTGCCGGGGTCCTATTCTAAAGGAGGATGAGTGAGGGTGAGGGTTAGCGCAAATACAAGGTCAAGGGGAATTTAGGCAGGTCACAGGCCTGCATAATTATGCATGGGAAGCAACCAGTAGAGACAGGTGGGTGACCACTGGTCCCAGTTTGCCTAGGTCTTTCCTACTTTTAGCACTATCTTGGGAATACCTATAGTCCTAGGGAAACCAGGGGGATTGGTTATCCCTCCAGGAATATAGTTTAGTTAGAAAAAGTGTAGAAGAGACAGGAGGAAAGATGGCTGGAGGAGGCCTCCCTGGCAGACTGGGTCCAGGAGCATGGTCTCTGCGGTGATGTCAAAGGGCCAGCTCCTCCGGTCCAAGAGGGAGTGAAGCAGGGAGGAAGTACATGGTCAGAAAAGGATTAAGGCATATGTGGCGCAGCTGTCCAGCAGACGTGGAGGCTCCGTAGAGAAGGCAGCCCCACATTTGTACCATCTTTCTCTCTCCATAACCCATCTCCTTCTGTCTTTGCAGTCCCCACCCTGTGAAGCCCCTCAGTGCAGCCCCTGTGGAGGGCAGCCCCGACAGGAAGCAGCCCCGCTCCAGCCTGAGCACGGCCCTGAGCAGTGGGCTGGAGAAGCTCAAGACAGTCACGTCTGGCAGCAGTCAGCTTGTGGCCCCGGCACCCCAGCTTGGCCAGACTGTGGACACCAAGAAGCTGAAGGTGAGGTCCAGTAGAGTGCTAGGGGCATCTGACAGAAAGGCTAGGGGTTATGGAGTAAGGAGCAGGCCGGGTCCCCCATGCCAGGCCTGAGGCCAGTTAGACTGCCTGTGTCATCAGAGACAGGTAGCTCCAGAGCCTGTGGTGGGAGAACGGGGCTGCCGCTGGGCAGCTGAGCCCCAGGCTTGGTCATCCTACTCACTCCCATTCCCTCTGGCCCCAGGACTCTGCTGTGCCAGACCAGTCAGCCAAGTACTACCACCTGACGCACGACGAGCTCATCGGCCTGCTCCTGCAGCGAGAGCGCGAGCTGAGCCAGCGGGATGAGCACGTGCAGGAGCTGGAGAGCTACATTGACCGGCTGCTGGTGCGGATCATGGAGACCTCACCCACACTGCTGCAGATCCCTCCCGGTCCCCCCAAGTAGCCTCCCCTCCTCCACTCATCCCTAGAGGGTTGGTGAGGACCTGCTGCCCAGAGAGGGCCCATGTACCTGCCTGCCCGTCTGCCCGCCCGCCCTCCTTCCCATCGAACATACTCACCTGGGCAAGGCACAGCCTGTCCTTGTGGTCTCCCTGCTCCCCCGCACTTGCCTCTCTGAAGGAGAGCCCTGGGACCCCACTTGGAGGCATCAAGTTCCATGTATAACTTGTGTGTCTGTGGGAGTCCTGGGTCTTTCCCACCTGCCTCTTTTCATACCCTTAGCTTTGGGGGCTCTGTGGAATTGGAACAAGGCAGTTAGTCCTCAAGATGAGCAGGAGTGGACTGCAGGTTGGTGTGTCTGAGAGAGGCTATTGTTGCACAGACTTTATAACCCCCCAGGGATGGTCTGCCATTCCTTCCCACAGTAATCCCTCATCCTCTTCATTCCCCTCCGGGTTCTGGAGGGGATCTAGTATTACAGGGACTGGGACAGGGACCAATCTGACCATTTGTCCAAGTTGTGGGCAACCCGGGTGCCTACTCTTCAGCCTTGCCCTCTTCCCCTGAGAGCAGGGGCCTGTGTGGTCCAGTCTAGTCTTTGCCACGTCCCAAGTCTTTTTCCACCTTGAGCTGTTGCCGAGTACAGTGTGGAAGGAGGTGATGATGTCTGTTGTCCAGGCTGCTCGTTGCCCTCTTTGGACCTTCCCCCTGGGTGTCACTGGTGAGTGTGAAGGTAGGGCTGAGTCAGACAGAGCTCCTCCTTGCTCTTCTGGTTCCCACTCATCTCTGATGTACAGGCCCCGCCACGTCAGGGCTGTAGGCTGCTTATGTTTTGGGGATTAAGCCTCCATGTCTTTCTGTTTCCTGTCCAGATGCCAAAGCTCTATGCTCCTGCAGGGTTTGAACTTTTGGAACCCAATGAAAATGTGCCTTTTGCAGGTGGGGTCAAGAGCCTCTGGATGTAGATCTCTCCCCTGCTGTGGCATCCCCCGCCTTCCTGTTTGAGCACACCTGGATGGCTCTGTCGGGGTCCTGGGAAGGGGAATGGGGGTTGAACAGTCCTGCTGTGTGTTCTTCCCCTCCTTGAGAGTTATCTCAGCTAAGGGTCTGGTCAAGCTGCTGCTACTAACCCTCCTGCTGTCTTCCCTTCCTCTTCAACCCCATTTCGAGGATCCTAGGATAAAAACCTCTGGTGAGCTATTGTTCTGGGGCCAGTCCTGGCCTGGCCTCAGGACAGCCATGCTGGAGCAGTTGGCTGTTCTGCAAGTGGGAGGCCGCACTATGCCTTAGGAGACACCTATACTCCTTTGTTGCTCCCCCACCCACCCACTAAGCTCTGTCCCAGCCTGTCCCTTCTGCCTTGCCTGGCTTGGCTGCTGTGTACTTTGAGATGAAGTATCTGTCCTTTGGCCTAGCCGCTGGTTTGCTTTTGGAAAACATGGCAGGTTTCCCCATGACATCTGCAGGGATCCTTTGCTACCTTGGGCACCCTGCATTAGTAAAAGATGGGGAGGGCATGCCAAAGGATGATATTTTTAGCCCAGTGAAGGGGCAAGAGCTCCTCTAGGGCCGTCTCCTGTGGGCTTGCTCAGAAGGCCTCAGGTTGTGTTCTCTGGGTGCTGGCGGTCTTCTGCCAGGATGGAGCAGATGGCCCTGCACCTGGGGGAGCCTCTGAAGAGTCGCTTACCTTAAGGTTCCCTCACCAGAGCTGAATGTATCCACAGGTGCCCAGATCTTCAGTCACGTGTTTGAAGGGTCATTGAAGATTGGAGAAATGATTTTTCTGAGGGAGAGGCCATTCTCCTACTAGGTATTTTTTGGCTCTTTTTGGTCCCAGCCCCAGCCCTGGGTAGGTGTATCTTTAGAAGAGGTTTTGAATTGAATTCAGCCAAGGGTTGTTTGATGTTTTTGCTCCTAACCACAAGCTACATGGGGGTGGGCAGGTAGCAGGCACAGTTCTGCTTTGCTGTTTGTCTCCCTAGGTGTACCTCTTGTTTATAAAGAGCTTGTTCTTCATGTTTTGAGCACTTTATGAGGAATAAAAAGTTCACATACTGCAGGTGGTCTCTTGCTTTCCTGTTTTGAAATGAGTGGTTGAAAGAGACTGCCCGTGGGGTTTCAGTGTCACAGGCAGTAGCACAGTGATGTGCAGTAGCCTGGACTCAGTGTTTTCCCACTCCCAGGGTGCCTGTTTATTGGGCACCCATTATTGGCATATTTATTGGGTGCTGTTGGGGAATACAGAGGGCCAAAGACTTGATTCTTAAAAAAAAAAAAAGACTTGATTACTGAAGCTACTTAGTCTAGTGAGGGGAGAGAAGATATAATTCTGACATGCAGACTGATCTTCATGGCTAGCTAGACTCTCTCCCCAGCTTTAGGAAAATTCTATTTCTTCGGATTCAACCATTAGTGAGTGGATGAGGAACTTGGACTACTACTCATGCAGTCTCCAGAAAGAAATGAGCAGGTACAGGCCAACCTTGCACCTCTCCATTAGACGAAGGAGACCCAAAGGGTTTTCCTAGAGTTGAGACCAAATAATTCTGTCCTTTTTTTTTTTTTGGTCTTTCTGAGACAGGGTCTCGCTATGCAGTTCAGGCTGGCCTTAAGTTCACTTTGTAGCCTAGGCTGGTCTCGAACTCACAACGACCCTCCTGCCTGAGCCTCCCGAGCACTGGGATTACAGGTGTGCACCACCATGCCCAGCAGTTCTGTCTTCATGGATGAAACAGGCAGCACCTCCTCCCCTACCCTGGTTCATTGTTCTACCCCATTCTGCAGGAGCAGTCCTGTTCTTCAGGAGCAAGTGTTTATTGTCTGCTGGGCTTGGTTTACAACCTGCAGTACTTCCAAATTTAAAGTACTTGTAGCCAGGCATGGTGGTGCACGCCTGTAATCCCAGCACTCGGGAGGCTGAGGCAGGAGGATCGTTGCAAGTAAGAGACCAGCCTTGGCTACAAAGTGAACTTAAGGCCAGCCTGAACTGCATAGCGAGACCCTGTCTCAAAAAGACCAAAAAAAAAAAAAAAAAAAAAAAAAAAAAGTACTTGTAGCTGGTACTTGACAAAGATACTACTAAATCCTATTCCCCACTCTCCAGGAATTAGGCCTGGGAGGGATCTTCCTTGATGGTCAAAGCAGTAAGGGTTGTCAGGGCTCTTAAGTCCTGATGTTGAACTCGAACACATTTAGCTGTCTCTAATAGGAGCCCTCCCAATGGTTAGTCCTGCAGACTTAGTGAATCAAAGTCACGCCCCCAGCTCTCTGGGCCCTACAGTAGAAAAGACAAGTATTTAAACCTGCAAAGAGTTATAAAGTGCTGTAAAAAACAAGTGTCAGGGGCTATAGATCCATCCTTTAGTGGCTTATGTGGGAGTGAAATGATAAATCAGGAAAAGCAGTATTTAGGCTGAGGCCAGAAAGTGCCTGCATTAGGAGAAAAGTTAGTTTTTGAGTATAGTCTGTTAAGTGGATCAGGCAGCACAAACCTTGGGTGTGAGGTAAGGCTGACGAATGTGAAGAAACTGCAGGAAAATTTCGCAGTGCAACTCTTTGCTGAAAGCTTCCGAATTAACTCTGCTCTGCCAGGGGTCCTTGCTCATCCGGTCCGGGTTGGGCCCGTTTGTGTGTGGCTTGGGTGGCAGATTGCCACTCCAGCCACCCAGTGGCAGCACCCTAAAGTTCTAGGGGCAGGAGATCAGCGTGCCGCCGCCCCGTAGCCCTCTGCAGGAAACTCAGGGCTGGGTATAATCACCATTCGCGGCTTGCGGACCCTGCAACACGGGCGGCTGGAACGGAGATCCGACCTACGTGGCAGCAACCCTGCAGTCTGAGGTTGCCCGGCGCCCAGACGAGCTGAGAAAAACTACACTTCCCACAACCCCTCGCGCGCCCTACTCGCTGCGGTTGCTCGTGGCCAATCGGGAGAGGCAGCTGTGGCGGGGGCCGAGGAGGGACATTTTAAAAGGGCCGGGGATTGCGGGCGTCAGTGGCCATGGCGGATACAGCGACTACAGCATCAGCGACGGCGGCTAGTGCCGCTAACGCTGCGACCGATGCACCTCCTTTTCAGCTGGGAAAACCTCGCTTTCAGCAGGTGAGGATTGAGCTGGGGTCTGCGGGCTCGCGGGTGCACAGGGAGGGCAAGCAAACTCCCCTTCAAAGTCCCCTTCAGCCCTAGGGTCCCCGACCCGCGGCCACCGGAGCCTGCAGCTAGTGCCTCGGGGACTTCGGCCACAACCACCCTTTCCCATTGGTCAGTGAGACGGGCGAGGATGCCCACCTTAGCTCTCTATTGGCGGATGGCGTCGTCACTCCCCGGCTGTCCGCGCCTGCTAGCCCGTCCGCCCGAGGCGCTCTGTGATTGGCTGCTGCTGGCCGCGGCCGGGGTTCGGCTGCCTGGGTCGGGGCAGCTCTTTGCAGGGTCTCTCCGGCTTGTGAAGCGTTTCGTTCTGGGTACAAAGTTCGAGTACGGCCCATGAGGAAAAGTTGCAGTGCCCAGGATGCCTTCTAACTCCCCCCCCTCCTCCCCGCGAGTAGGACTGACATTCCTCCTGAGCTGCTGGCCGAGGCCCCGGGCAGCATCTGCGCCCTGCGGACACGCACCCATTACTCAAGCTCCAGCGGGGTCCAAGATGCGCCGCAGGGTGGGACCGCGCGCCGCTGGATGCGGCCGGGCGACCCTTTCCTTCCTCTGGCTGAGAATTCGCTCACTCAGCGAAGCGGCCGGCCGGTATCCTGCAGGAATGGAGCTAGGACGTGGAGGGAGAGCGGGGTGCGGGGTGCGGGGTGCGGAGGAAGCGCTGTGTCATCCCCTGGGGTCGCCGCCGGGAGTCCGCCCCGGCCCCTCCCTCACTGCGTTCTCCGCGGAGGTTCTCCCATACCTGGGCCTGGCGCTGCCGAGCTCTGGGCTCTTCGGGGGCAGGGGGACTGCGATCATTTCCCTTCCTGACCCCAGCCAGCGTGCCACTAAGTTGGATCCTCAGCCGGGACGTGGAGGCCCTTCCTGGGAGCCACAGCCTGACAAGGGCAGTTCCCACGCTGCAGACACTCGCAGAGGAAACGCACTTTGTTAGGAAAAGGGCAAAGAGACTTGGCTAAAGTGAACTGAGGCTTGCGGGGGTGGGGGGTGGTAGGTGACAGCGGGGCTTCGCGGAACAACTTTTCCGGAAGAAAAGAAATGGTTCAAAGGTCGGTGCAGTGGCCTTTTATTTTTATTTATTTTTATTTTTGGCCATGGTGGTGTGAGGAAGACTGAATGCAACTAGAGCTTCTCTTAAGTCTTCGGAGAAAAAGTCCCCAGCGTCTTTAAAGGGAACTTGATTCCTTTTAAAAACTGATAATCTCCGCATGCAAATATGTGAGGGGAGACTGGCATCTTCCTGGTGGAGTAAGATGCTGCCTAAGATGAGACTGCCCGGAGTGCTCCTGCCTGGTCTTGGGTGACCTTTCACTGCCTGCCCCTGTCCTGCTACTGTATCCTTCTGGAAGGCAGGTACCCTCTGGCAAACGCTTGCTCCCTTCTCTAGTGCCTGTAGTTCCTAGTCTGATCCGCCCCCATTGCGGACTCCCTCTTGTCTCTTTGACCACCCTCAGTGGGATCCTCATAGTCCAGTTTTTCCCTGTAGTCTTCCCTGTGGTCCTCTAACTTAATGGTTACTTGGTTTCCTCAAACCCCAGTATAGGCCTTTTGAGAGGAGGGGCTGATCTTGCCCTTCCCTGTCTCTTACTTTGAGCTTAGATTTGCAGTACGATGTGGAGCAAAGACTTCAGGCTTTTGCTTTTTTGTTTTTTTCCTGGTGCCTCTTATCTTTGTGCAGCACTTGGGGTGGGCAGTCACCCAAGGGAGCGTCATAGTAGCTTTAAGGCCAGGGCCTTTGCTGTGATGACTGCTGGAACCATAGATGCACTTTTGAGGCCGGTGGGTTCCTGCAGCCATTCCTGGTATCTCGGTTTGGCAGTAAAGTGTGTATGTCTTACCGCAGTTCTCCTGGCCAACATAGTGGCTTGCATGGTTGTACTGCATGAGCTTGTGTGATTTGTCCATGTTAAGGAACTTTCCTGTTCTGCAGACCTGTTCCTGTCACTTTGCTCCCTGACCCTGCAAGCAGTTTAGCTTGCCACCTATATTCTAGTCATAAACCTAGGATTTATGTATACTTTCCTGTCTCTCCCCACCCTCTAAATACAACCAGAGATCATGGTCTCACCTCTCAAACAGTTCGAACATCCACCCATCTTCAGGGCTGGACTCCTACACCAGCCCCAGGCCTCTCCCCCACCACTTCCTGGGCCACTGTGGAAGACTGGGCAGGTCTGTTCGCTTCTACTGTTGTCCTCTTCCAATCCCTCCCTCTTCTCTGTGGCAGTGTCCCAATAGTGCAGGCCTGATCAGGTGACTCCCAACCTTTTACACACACACACACACACACACACACACACACACACACACTTAAAACACCCAGCATTGGCTTTTATTGCCTCTAAGATAAAGACCTCCCCTCTAAAGGGACCCACCCTGTTGACTTCTTCCTTGAGTGTTACCACACACTCACCCCAAAACCACCTTTCCCCCAACACTAGCTGTTTGGCCTTTAGACATGCTGTGTCAAGGCCCCTCTCCCCAAAGCCTTGGGCCATCTGCTGGAACACCACCTTTCCTCTGCCCTCAACTCTTATCCCACTCTTCTTCATGCCTAATGTGTCATGGAGCACCCCCACCCCCAAGTTGACTTTCTGACTGTGCTCCCCTACTGCAAAGCACCTCAGTGCATACGTTGATTCAGGGTGATTATTTTATCACCATGCCTCCCTCCTCCCATTTCAACCGCAAGCTCCATGGAAGCCTGCTGGATCTGCCTTGACTCCCTATTGAGTCAGTCCAGAGCCTGGTACTTCAGAGGTGCCTGATAAAGATTTGTGAATAAATTAATATGCTGTGGATACTTCAGTGGGTTTTGTGGACAAATTGATACACTAGTTGTGATGGGCCAAGTTTTATCCAGATTGTTCCTCAGGAATCTGTAAAACTGTAACCAAGTGGGAACATGTTTGACAGTGCAAGAATCTTCAGCCCCGAGTCCCCAGAGTGGGGGTTGCTAAGGAGGTGAACCTAAAGATAAGTGTCTGCCATGTATGTCCCCCCAGCCACCTTCATCTGGGTCCTGCTCTCAGTGTTTGGGATAAAGTAGGCATCCAGTGAATGCTGATAGTGCCCCGTTCTGGCCTGTCAGAAGCCTGCTTGAGTGGTTCATAATGTGGGGTCCATTCTTAGAGCCCACACCAGGGACGCGACTCCACAAAACTTTCCCTTGGGTAGGATTTATATTTCCTAAGCAGTGGTTATGCCCTGATGTACAACTTGTAGTCAAGATCTTTCCTGACTCCCTGGAGTCACTCCAGAACCTTCTTCCTTTACCTCCTCAGTACCCTCCTGGTACAGGAGGGTAGGAAGAAGAGCACCGAGCAGGACCGGAGGGTGGAAGAGGGCGATGGGCTTTGCTCGGTGACTGTTTTTCTCTCCATAGGATGATGATGAGCTAGGCACAGTGGTGCCTGCATGTAATCCCATCTATTTGAGAGGCTGAGGCAGGAGGATTGAAAGTTTGAGGCCAGCCTGGGCAATTTAGCGAGACCGCGTCTCAAAAAAAAAAAAAAGTTATCATGATATTCAAGGTATCGGTAAGGAAAGTAGCGCACAGATTAAGTAACTTCCTGAGTGGTCTAGCTCCAGAGTCTGTATTTGTTTATTATCAAGTTTTTAGACATGTAAAAGTAAACACAGTCATCATCAAACCCCCATGTACCCATTGCTTGGCTTTAAAAATCACTAACTTAAGGCCAACCTTGTTTCATACATATATTATTCAAAATAATTTATCCCTAGCCAATAATTTTTTGGGGGTGGAGGTTTTGAGACAGGGTCTTGCTATGCAATTCAGGCTGGCCTTGAGCTCACTTGGTAGCCCAGGCTGGTCTCGAACTTGCAAAGATCCTCCTGCCTCAGCCTCCCGAGGGCTGGGATTACAGGCGTGCGCCACCATTCTCGGCTTGGCCAAAGAATCCCATCTTTTTTTGTTTGTTTTTTGGTACTGGGGACCTTGTGCTTGCCAGGCAGGAACTTATGCCACTGAGCTATATCCCCAGCTACCAATAAATTATTTTGACTCAAAACCCAAAATGAATTATTTTGAAGCAAAAGCATAATCCCATTATTTCCTTGACCTATGAGTACTATCTCTAAAAAATAAGTTCTCTTTTGGTTAGTTTTTTTTGGGGGGCGAGTGGGTACCAGGAATCAAACTCAGGACTTCATGCTTGCCAGGCAGGCACTGCACCACTAAGCTTAATCCCTGGCCTACTTGGTTAGTTTTTAAAGTAAAGTTTTGCTTGGAATACTTTGATTTGTGGACATTAAAAAGATAACAAAGAATTCCCACATAATCCTCATGCAGGGTCCCCTAATACCATCTCCCATTACTGTGGTAAATTTGTCAAAACTAAGCAATTATAGTACATTCCTATTAACTGTATTCCACACTTTTATGATAGCCCCTTTCTGTTCCAGGACCCCACCTAGAACCTCACATTATATTTTGTCACTGTGTCTTCTTAGTCTCTTCTGGTATGTGGCAGTTTCTCAGACTTTACTTGTTTTTAATGACCAAGGTAGCATTGGGAAGTACTGGCGGTGTATTCTGTTTTTTTTTTCTTCCGGTACCAGGAATCAAACTCATGACCTTGCGCTTGCCAGGCAGGCGCTGTGCCGCTGAGCTAAATCCCCAGCCCCAGGCAGTGTATTTTGTAGAATGGCCTTTAATTTAGATTTGCCAAATATTTTTCTTGTAGATAGACTGGATTTATGGGTCGTGAAGGAAGAATATCACAGAGGTTTTTAAAGTAGTTTTAATGTAGCTGCAATACCCTTTGTACACCTAAAATGAGCTTTTTGTTTGTTTTTTGAGATCAGGCTGGCCTTGAGCTCACTGTGCAGCCCAGGCTGGCCTCAGGCTTGTGGTGATCCTGCGTTAGCCTCCCAAGTGCTAGCATTCTAGGCATGTGCCACCACACCCGACAATTATTTTACACTTATCTGTG